CTCGAAGTATTCTGCCCATCTTTTCCTCTGTTCCTGAATCTCAGTGATTGTCTTTCCTTCTTTGTCTTTGACCGGTCTCTCTGGTTTGCTATATCTTCCTGCCAATTTCTTCGTTGTATCATATAGTTGTTTCATATTCCCTTCTCTTGCAGCTTTTTCCGCCGCCGTTGCTAGTTCTCCCATGTATTTCTGCTTGTCGGCTTTAATGCTTTTCTTCACTTCCCTGTTTGCTTCTGCGTAGTCTGCTTGTGCTTTGGCTTTCTCTGCTCGTGTTCGGCTGTTGTTAATTGCTAGTTTCTTGTTCTTCCTTTCTTGAATTTTGTCCAGGGTTCCCATAGAGATCCATTCCTTGTGATGATGCTTCTTAGGACCAAGAACCTCCTGACACGTTGAAGTTAGTGCTTCTTTTATCCCTTTCCAGTTGTCCTCCAAAGTAGTTTATTGTTCTTTCAGTAGATCCTGTAATGCCTGGATCCTATTGTTGAGAGTTATCTTGAATTCTTGGAGCTTGTCAGTATCTCGAAGGAAGGCTGTATTGAACCTTTGTAGTGCTGTTTGTCCAGTTGTCCAGTCTTTCTTAAGCTTCAGTCTCATCTTGGCCACAACCAGGTGGTGATCTGAAGCTATGTCAGCTCCTCTCCGGGTTCTCACATCTTCCATTGATCTTCGGAATTTTTTGTTGATACAGATGTGATCAATCTGGTTCTCTGTGGTGTGGTCCGGTGAGATCCATGTGGCTGTGTGTATGCGTTTGTGTGGGAATATTTTTGTTCTAGTATTAAATAATGGTAATTCTAATTTCCAACAATGTAGAGACTGGCCAATCGCAGCCCTAAGAGTCTATGGGAAGATTCAAACAAACGATACCAAGTGAATTCAAACTTCACCCCATTGCACAAGGAAGTGGCTATCAGGACTCAGTAGCTGAGTGGATAACGCGATGATGTTTGAAGCGAACGGTAGCCGGTTCGAATCCTAGGGTGAATATCAACCCTGGGATACAGGTACATCCAGGTGACGAGTCCCAAATATAACGAAACGCGCATCCTGTATCCCACTGCTAGCTACTAACCATCTTTACTTACAATGCTTGTGAATTAAGGCAATATCGAGGCGATACGCACAGTATGCATATATGAACAATAAGAGACTGACCAGTTGCAGTCCTAGACATCAATGGAAATATTCTAACAAACAACACTAAGTGAATTTAATGGATATGTTTGTTAGCACTGGTAGTTATACTTTTTTGAGTAACACTAGAATGCATGAAAACCGGTCACATTGTTAGACATTATCGTAAGACGTGAACATATTATTTTCATTGTTCGGATCATGAACTGACCTTAGCTAGCCAATATTTGAAAACCCGGAAGCATTGGACTGGTATTTCATCCTAGTATGGAAATCCTAAGAACTTCGCGTCCCCAACTTCGCACGCGGATGATGGTCACTTAATATCTCGAATTCATTGATGTTATAACTGTGGACCATCCAACCTCAACTCAGATGTCCAAAGCATATATTCATCCTATGAGACTCGAGGATCTCTAATTCGACTCCTAGTCGGATAAGTTCCAAAGTAGAAAGAAACAAGTGTTCAGTGCTTGTTTATTCTTTTTTATGGTCGATTGACTAAAATCTCTCGGTGATATAAAACATTATCAAGTATTAGCTTGCATGCAAAATATTTTTCAGTAAACAATCCAGTTTCATAGGTGTGCTGGATCAGATAAACGGAAGAATATGAAATAAGATAGTCGACAGGATACCCTGGACCTATTTGTTCGTGCTACTTAGCACTCGTCAACAAGGTGTACCTGCAGTCTTCAGGGAACTGATTTTCACCAATGGATTCGATCTCGTGTCACCCAGCTTAACAGTTAGAGACGTTACCAATAGCCTATGCGGGCCGCATCATAAAATAAAATCTAGTTGAATAACCTGAAATTTAGATTGACCTATTAACTTTTTTTAACATTTTTCCATACTACTTACTATAATCAAATAGAATAGTACATTTACTTACATTTTATTTTGTAAGTCAGTTCGCAAAAGTCAACTATCCAGAGCTATCTAGTTACAAGGGGATATACAGTTAAAGTTAGTTCATGATGAAAACTATCTCAAAGATCAATGCGTATTTTCAATAGGCAGCAATTACTTACTTACTAACTCACTGAAGACAATGGTGAATGGTTGCTCAATTTCGTGTATTGGTTGAAGTTAGACATGAACACCATTGAATGCCGACCAGCTCAGTGGTCTAGTGGTTAAGTGCTCGCACGCGAGACTGATAGGTCGTGGGTTTGAATCTCGCAAGGCGGGGTCGTGAATGCGCACTTCTGAGGAGTCCCACAATAGGACCAGATGACTGTCCAGTACTTCCAGGTTTTCCACGGTGGTCTAGCTTCAATTGACTCATGATCTTAACTATATAAAATTACTAAAATCTCCACAAAACCCCCTTGTGATAGTCATTGAGGAAAGTTGAAGACTACTTGGAACACTTTTATAAATAATACTCATCCCATAACCTGTAAGGTGACAAACAATCCCTTCATTTCAATAGTTCTATTGGAATATATGCTTATATTTAACAAACCATGAATTGAATGAATTTCGCCTGTTACTCCCAATGGAGCATAGGCCGCCGACCAGCTTTCTCCAACCCACTCTGTCCTGGGCCTTCTTTTCTAGTTCTTTCCAGTTCTTGTTCATTCTTCTCATGTCTGTCTCTATTTCTCGGCGTAATGTGTTCTTTGGTCTTCCTCTTCTCCTTCGACCTTCAGGATTCCATGTGAGGGCTTGTCTTGTGACACAATTGGGTGATTTCCTCAAAGTGTGCCCAATCCACTTCCAGCGCTTCTTCCTGATTTCTTCCTCCGCTGGAATCTGGCTTGTTGTCTCCCACAGTAACTTGTTGCTGATAGTGTCTGGCCATCTGATCCGAAGTATCTTGCGTAGACAGCTGTTAATAAACACTTGTATCTTCTGGATAATGGCTTTCGTAGTTCTCCACGTCTCTGTCCCATACAGAAGAACTGTCTTGACATTTGTGTTGAAAATTCTAGCTTTGGTGTTGGTTGGCAATTGTTTTGATTTCCAGATGTTTTTCAGCTGTAGGTATGCTGCTCTTGCTTTGCCGATCCGCGCCCTCACATCTGCATCTGATCCACCGTGTTCATCAATGATGCTGCCCAGATATGTAAAGATTTCCACATCCTCCAAAGCTTCTCCGTCAAGTGTAATTGGATTGGTGCATATTGTATTGTATCGGAGAGTCTTGCTTTTCCCTTTGTTTATATTGAGACCTTCTGCTGCTGAGGCTGCTGCTACACTGGTCGTTTTCTCCTGCATTTGTTGTTGCGTTTGTGATAGAAGAGCCAGATCATCCGCGAAGTCTAAATCGTCAAGCTGCATCCTGCCTGTCCACTGTATCCCGTGCATTCCTCCAGATGTTGACGTCTTCATGATCCAGTCGATCACCAGGAGAAAGAGAAAGGGTGAGAGCAGGCAACCTTGCCTAACACCGGTCTTTACCTCGAACGAGTCGGTGAGTTGTCCTCCGTGGACGATTTGGCAGTTTAGTTCATCATAGGAGTTCCGTATGATGTTGACTATCTTCTCAGGCACGCCGTAGTGTCGAAGAAGCTTCCATAGTGTCGTCCTGTCCACGCTATCAAATGCCTTCTCGTAATCGATGAAGTTGTTGTAGAGTGATGAATTCCATTCGATTGATTGTTCCACAATGATACGTAAAGTTGCGATTTGATCTGTGCACGATCTATCCTTACGAAATCCAGCTTGTTGATCTCGAAGTTGAGCGTCCACGGAATCCTTCATCCTGTTTAACAATACTCTGTTGAAGACTTTTCCTGGTATTGAGAGGAGAGTGATGCCCCTGTAGTTGTCGCCCTTGCTCAGATCGCCTTTCTTTGGTATCTTGATGAGAAGTCCTTCTTTCCAGTCTGTTGGTACTTGTTCTTCGTCCCAAATCTTACTGAAGATGATGTGGAGTATCTTGGCAGTTGCTGTTACATTTGCTTTCAGTGCCTCTGCCGGGATGTTGTCTGGTCCCGCTGCTTTGCCACTCTTGATTTGTCTAATGGCCATGCTGATCTCTTCAATTGTTGGTGGGCCAATATCGATTGGGAGGTCTGTGGGTGCTGCTTCGATGTTGGGTGGGTTCAGTGGAGCTGGTCGATTCAAGAGTTCCTTGAAGTGTTCTACCCACCTGTCTCGTTGTTCTTCAATATCGTTGATTACTTTGCCTTCCTTGTTTTTCACTGGTCTTTCTGGTTGACGGTAAATTCCAGCAAGTTTCTTTGTTGTATCATACAGTTGTCTCATGTTTCCCTCTCTTGCAGCCTTTTCCGCTGTCATCGCTAAATCTTCCACATATTTACGTTTGTCGGTCCTGATGCTCCTCTTCACTTGCTTGTTTGCCTCTGTGTATTCGGCTTATGCCCTGGCTTTTTCTGCTCTTGTTCGGCTGATATTGATTGCTGCCTTCTTGTTCCTTCTTTCTTCAATTTTATCCAGTGTACCAACAGTGATCCATTCCTTGTGATGGTGCTTCTTTTGGCCCAGAACCTCCTGACATGTTGAAACGATTGCCTCCTTGATACCTTTCCAGCTGCTCTCTATGGTGGTTCCCTCTCCATTGAGTAGGTCATGAAATATTTAACAAAACGTTTTCGTATATTCTTAAAAATACTCCATCATGATGCTCAATTACAGAAATATACATTTTTTTTCTTTCTCTTCTGTCCAATCGTCTTTATCAGTTACATTCTTTAATCAAAATCGATGAATTATATATTCAACATTAATTTGTAAAGAAGTACAATCTCTCATCTTTTAAAAAGTAGTGAATAATTATACAATATTCAATAATGTTAGTAAAATTAGTTTTTGCTTTCTTTTTCTTTCCAAAATGCACTCGATCTGTCACATCTTAATAGAAGAAAAAGAAAGAAACGTTTCGTTTTATTCCTCTATCCTTCATCATCTCCTTCATCATGTAGTACTGGTACACCTAAAGTATAAAAGAAAAAATATCGAACAAAATGAACTGAATAATTACTTTTTCATTATTAGTTTTAAACCGTTCATCAGTAATTTCATATAGTTTAGATTATGAGTCAATTGAAGCTAGACCACCGTGGAAAACCTGGAAGTACTGGACAGTCATCTGGTCCTATTGTGGGACTCCTCAGAAGTGCGCATTCACGACCCCGCCTTGCGAGATTCAAACCCACGACCTATCAGTCTCGCGTGCGAGCGCTTAACCACTAGACCACTGAGCTGGTCGGCATCCAATGGTGTTCATGTCTAACTTCAACCAATACACGAAATTGAGCAACCATTCACCATTGTCTTCAGTGAGTTAGTATCTCATAACAGACCTGGTTGAACTTCGCTGGTCACTACTTCTCACTAGAACTCCAGGAAATATCTCATGGAGCCAGTCAGTAGTTGAAAATAATATTAAATGTATATATTATTTGATCAGAAATTATACAAAATGATATGCTAATTTCCAAACTTTAATATTTACTATGTTTCAATTACTTTTTATTTCATTATGGTACTATTCTGTTTCTAAGGAAATGAATGCTGTTAAGAACACAACAAATAAACAAATAAATTAGAAAATGTTATATGAGATAAAAAGAAAAAGTTGATGTGAGTGGGATTCACATTTTGGACCAACAGTTAAAAATGTCATGAGTTGAATTTGGTAAACCAAGCTAAACTAATAGTTTTCCAACCACAAAGTATGGAAGAAGATTAATGATAATGTAATTAGTCATTAATTTAAGCCAAAAAAATCGACTAGTAAGTAAAAAACGTTAAGGTATAAGTTACTTAGTGATAATTAATCTAAAGTCTGAGATAAATATACATCCACTCACATTCCTTGATAAAGGTGGCCTGCTTGAATATCTGGGCTACCTGTTCTTACTATTTAGATATTTCAACAAGTTATATAATTTCGTTTGTTTTAATACATCCTTATGTTTATTAATATCAGGTGCATTTCTGAAAGGTGTACAAGTTACAAAGGCCCAATCAGAGACATCGTGGTTTCTGGCAATATGCATCAAAAAGAATGTACATTATTTAGATTTCAATTGACTGGACTGTTTACTTCTAACTGGAGATCACTCAGTATTTGTCTTCAGGATCAATCAAGAAAAAGAAACAAAAACCTGCTGAAATATATTTTGCTGAGAATTCTATATTGTACCAAAGATATAATATCAAATAAAGCCACTAATACTGATAAGAAAGAAAGAAAGAAGAAATCAAAAAGACGAATAGCAAATGAGTCAAAATAATAGTAATATCAGTGATAATAAAATGTTGAAATCTATATACTTTGGTTTGAAGGGAACTATTGAATTTGTCAAATAACATATGTGAAATAATATAACAACCCGAAATCTAGAGGTAGATGAGTAGTTAGTTGATCTGATCCACTGCTCCCGGGTTTAAGTTAACTCGTCTAAGTTCTCTGATCATCAACCATGATTATTCTGCTAACTAGGATTAGGTAGCCTAAGACTTACAACAGATTTCAGATCCACAGTTCGTAACTTCGTGAACTATTACTACGTTCTGGTTAACACAACAAACTTAATTCCTATGAACCGACAATTGTAAAAACCACACTTACTGATTACTGAATGTTATGATTTTTGGTTTTCTTTTTGTTCATAATCATCATCGCATTTCTTAAGAGATCTTTATGAAACTCAGTTATAAGGTTCACTTTATAATTTAGCTTAATTGAGCTGGTTTTAATACAAATGACTATGACTGCCACCAGGCCATTTTATGTTTAGAGTTGAGCATACATCTGCCTTCGAGTCTTGAGGCAACTTGTGAATAATTTATAGACTTTTCGTTTACGGAAATAAAGTCATTTGTTTACCAACTGAAAACTGATACAGTAGGAAATTTTTTATTGAAATCATGAACCGATCAATGTTAGACCCCCATCGAAAATTGTTGTACGGTTTGTCTAGTGCTGGTTTTGTTCTATTTTACACATTTTAGATACCAATCATTGACTACAAGATCCCTTTCTTTAGTCGCTGACCGAATTCCCACTAAATATACCCGACCTGATATCCAACATGTCTACCAATATTTAAATAAAAATTAAAGTCACCCTAATCTTTTGCTTATTTAACAACTACTGACTGATGTATTATCCTAATTCGTTTCAACCCATCGACTCTAAGATTAAGCTTTTATCTTCTTGACCTTAGAAACGGTTAGAGGCAAAACTGATGGATATAGAGTTTATAGGTCTGTATGGCGTTATATATGTCGGAACAAAACTAAACACAGATTACAAAACGTTTTAAGTTTGAAACTGACCATCCAGCTTTTTAAGTTTGGGAAGCCTTTTACACGCTTCTTCTCTCCAGTTGTCACCACTGTTCTCCTCCAACGGGTTACCTAAACCGTATTACGTTGTGACGCACTAAAACAAGAGCTTACCAACGAAAAGGAGGTCCTCAAGGACTGGAAGGTCAGCCAGCTTCTGAAATTCACTCCAATCTTTCACAAAGTTGTTTGACATATATAGTACTTTTAGTTTTTTAAGTACATTAATCCCCTTCATCTTTTCAATACTGTTATATGAAATCCATAATTGCTCAAGTGTGTCCCCAACTGGTTCAAGTCCCGTTAGATTTTTAATGTTGTTTCTTCCTAGAGAGAGTATTTTCAAGTTTTCTAAGACAATATTTAATTAGCCATATGTTACTTAGTCCATTTAAATTCGAAATTTTCTCTATACAGTTAGTTGAAAGTGATAGTTTTCTGAATTTGTTCTTACAAAATAAGAAATTTCATACTCGCACATAGTCAAGGTAGAGAGTGAAGCATCCATTTTTTCTATTGGTGGGTACTGTCCATAAAGTTTTACTTCCGTTGCTTCCGATGCTTTCTGTCCTGTTTTCTCCTCCTAAACGGGTCTTAAGCCTAAATTTATATCTTACCCATTTTTTAATGGCTTCCTTAATGGTTGTGGGCTTGTCCTAAAAATCAAAAGACTAAAGTAGTGAAGCTCTGGAAACATACCATTTTCAAAACTACGCAGCTTGTTGTTATGCCAACGACTCCAAAGATGACCTTACGAGTAGGTTATTATTTGAGAACTGAATCTGGATGGTTGAAATGGGATCCTTGTTACGAATAGGTACGCATGGTGGCAAATAAATTTGATGTTTTATGTGACTGCAACAAAATACCATATTTCCTTTTTATTACGTTATGTTGTGTATGTAATCATTCACAATTTATGGTATGTTTGCAACAACTGTCAATACATTTCTCTTGTCAACTGGTTGATACGTGCATTGCTTCTCTGGCATGCAAACAAGTGATTGATCATATCATTCTTTCCTTTACTAAATTGGCTACAATCCTTATCAAAGAGAACAGTATTGTTGTTCGTCTTTCGGGCATATCCCCACTACATGGGAATATTGGCTTGAACCGCCTCCCAAAAGGCCACTTGGCTAATACTTCTTTTTACATAGTTGGCGTCAAATACTCGAAAGGGTATTCACTAGCTTTGTGAATCCTATTTTTGTTGATTACCAGCAAGGAACTTCCAAGCATCGTTTATTACGTTTGCAACTTTTGTCGTTCATGATAAGAAATTTTGTTTGTGTTGTTCCTACATTTTTCTTCAATCTGCACACTACTAGTCAATCTTCACTATTGTTTAGCATACCATCATGTCGTGATTAGATTGTCGTCTGACTCACCATATGGGATTTTTTCTATATTCCTTCTAGAAACGATAGGGTAAAATAATTTAGTTATCAATAGAAGTTATCTAAGAGTGACATTTAGAATAGTTCCTCCTTATACCCATGGCAAATCGAGCTCAAAACTATGCCAAGAGCATTTCAATAATCCCTTTGTAATAACTCTAAGCCTGTTAAACTGTAGTATTGCATAAGTACTCAGGAGGATACCAGTTCTAACACAATAATGCTAAGTTTGGACTAGATGTGTTTGCTGATGTTACAACGTAGACGCAGTACCATTTTAAAAAAGATCATAAAGTCAGTGAACTCGACGTACAGCATTAATGCGAAGACCTATCTATTAACTCCCTGGCATGTCTGCACGAATATTCTGCCATTTATTTGCATCGGTTTTACTTTTTTACCTGTGAACCTATGTTGGAAATAAGTGATCATGTCTGTAAGATCGGCGTGTACCTGCTACGTCAAAAATATATTATTATTGTTGAACGAATTTTAAGGTCATAGACATGCAGTAGAGTCCTACAGTTTTGGGGATTAGGCTGCTCAATAATAAAAAAAATCGAGCAACTTGAACTGTGAGGAGCTTGTTTGGTGATACCCACAAAATTGTCAGTAGTTTCATGTGCTGAACGAATTTTCCATATTAGTTCATGTGTACTGGTAAGTCTATTTCACTGAAGCACGTAAATGCTACAAAAGCTTGCTAATGAACCACCATAGTCAACCATAAATATAGATGACCAGTTATTAGTATCGATCGGACTAGTAAGTTGATTATGAGCACGATTCAATATTAGAACACAATAATGTATGTGAGCATTAATCAACAGACTAATGGAACAATGGGTTAACATAAGTAAAATCCAGTCGATAAAGTTATATTAGATTTGATAATTAATAACAGACTGCGTTTCCTTAGTCGGATCACCAATGTGATCTTATGGTCTGGTTTGATATTAGTACACTTATCTTTTCTTCTCTAATGATAGACCTAATCCAAAACTTGTATATTTGTCATGGTATGACCATGCAATTTATCAGACATTGAGTGGAAATCACGAAACCATCTACACTGACGCGTCCTATTGTAGAGGAAAATGGTTGTGGCCAGGAACTTCTGAAGAATAAATTTTGGATGGGAAGAGAATAATATATTAAATATAAAAAATATAGGTTATGAAGAGTGGCAACACCTGCATATTCGAGTCATGCACACTGATAAACTATTCCTGTGTTCATTATTTCTGATTCTATCAGTTATCGTATGTTCGCACCAAGGATCGTTTATTTGAGAACCAATACCATTACAAATACAGTTCCTGATATCTCACTGAGAGACATGATCTTAACTCAGAGTTCTAATTACATTTTGAACCAAATATTCGTATTAGTGCTGATGGACTGGTGGTTAGAAATTACCTGGCATACAAGCTAGTTGTAAGCAACAGGTTGATCGGAAGCTATAGATCAATATGCTTGGAGATGAGTTTTGAGATCAGTACAAATTAAATATTACTTCTAAAGGTGCTGTATTGTACAGTGTTCTCAGTTGGTTAAACTCTCATAAGCTAATAACGCAATAGTTTAGATACTTGAAATATGTTTTTGGCTCGCAACTACTGACGGGTGTTAACCGCCTTTAGTCTGGACAATTGGTTGGTTGGTTGGTCGACCTAACTTGCTAGGTCAATACCAGGATTTGTAAACTCGCCTGATAGTTTCATAGTCATTGTGAGAACTAGTTATTCTGCTAGATACTGAATCAGTTTTGACAGCTATTCTTATCCCCAACATAACTAAGAGGCAGGAATTCTGTCCACTGAGGTTTGAGTGTGAAATAAGGACAGATTTTAATTAACAACGGAAACAACCTACGATAACATTAGCCTGAGGATGGCGTGCTGTGCAACGCATTCTGTTAGAGCCTAGAAGTTTAGATAAGTTGACGAATAGCTCAGGTACAAATCGGGCTTCCCTATCAGTCCTAATTGTTGTAGGTGTACCAAAAATAGTCACCCAGTCCCGAATGAAAGCCTTGGCCAGTGTCTCAGCTGTAATATCGGTTATCAGTGTGGTAAAAAGAAAGCTGGTGAAGTTGTTTATGCATGTAAATGGATAACTGAAATCACTGGAACGCGGCAAAGGAACTAGCAAATCGACATAAACATGGGAAAATGTGAAAGTGGCTGTGAGAGTACTCGGATAGATAAATTTGGGTGACGGTTAACCTCTAACTCCAGTTTCAAACCGAGACGGTAGCTGTCTCGGTTTGAAACTGGAGTTGTTCATTGCATGTAGGTTTTGCAACAGCTGATCCGCCTTCTAGTTGTCCACTTACGTCTCGAAATTTAGGGTAGGTTGTCTTGTTATGGTCATCTACAACCGAAAGAATGTACCTACCACCTGCTTGTTTTGGCCTTTGATATGTTGGATATCACTGAAGAACTGTAATACAAAGTCAAGGTGTCGGACTTCTCAAGAGAAATATTTGTCGGCTACAGCTTTCAGTGCACTGGTTAGTGGTTCACAGTTTGTTTAGACCGTGGATTCTCTGCTTTACAACACGTGTCGGAAATACTTAGTGGTTAGGCAGATTGCGAGAAGTTCTCGCCCGAAGGTAGAAGTTCATCTATGCCGGAGCCAGTCTTTTAAAGGAGAACCCTAGTGGTTCCCAGGTGTTTTGGATCAGTTAGTTAAGGATGTCACCAATTGTTTCGTCTGAAGCTTATAATAAAAATAATATACCATCAAAGCAAGTGGTAAGTGGTAATTTGGATACATTGACGTAGATGTCTGATCTAGCTTACTCTTTAGCTGTTTGACAGCCTCAGAAGTTAGCTTAAATTCTTTCGGTCTTCCCTTAGGAGTACCTGTCAAAGGCCGCATTACCTATGTACAAACGGGTATAATCTTTAAAAAAGTTAACCGAAGCTGGAAAACTTCCACGCTGCGTTAGATAACGTGGTCTGAGGTATTGCCTAATGGTGTCCACCTCTTCTTTGGGTGTTGTAATCCCTTCTAGGTGTACTGTTTGTCCAAGAAATTCCGAAGTTTGAATACCGGAAACACGCTTTGACGTATGTTCATTCCATTCTCACTTGCCCATTGAAACACCGCTATCGAGTGTTGTTCATGTGATTTTCAGTCCTGAATATCAATTAATAAATATTATATATACCCCCATGCTAAAAGTTTGTGCGGCGTTCCTAAGGCCGAACGGCATGGATACAAATTTACACGGTCCAAGAGGTGTAGTAACAGCCACTTTGGAGATGTCTCCAGCTACTGGAATATTATGAAATGCCCTATGTTAATTTTAACAAATATTTGCATGCCCTGTAATTCGTATGTGAAATCTTGGATATGAGGTATAAGTTACCTATCTGGTACTGTATGAGGGTAGAGGGATCAATAATCCTCACCCGAAGAACCGTCGCCTTCTCTTTCTTGAGATCATATATAGAGGGGATGTCTATTGGTTACCAAAAGATTAAGGGTTGGATCTAATTAGGCATGAAAATTCCACGAGCATATAATGATAAAAACAATAATTTATTCTCAAATAACAGATTGTTACATGAGGCATGCCGGTTTACATGCAAGATCAAATTGTTAAAGAAGTTACAATTTTCACTTGGACTTTGCAATTCTTGGTGGCTGTGACTGTAGCAAATTTTATGAAGTGACGTTATTCCATTTAATTTTGTTAACGCAAGGTTTGTTGGTGTGTCAAGCGTTTCTTAGTATCGACCTGAGATTCATATCTCTCTAAAAGATCGACTCCCAGTATTTCCAAATCCAAATCGTCTACGGCGAATACCATGGGAATCACCCCCTAAACCTCAGGTCTAGAGTCGGAGTCTTTTCCGTAAGCGTCGAAATTTTAGTTTTCTTGGCAGGTCGAGGTGTATCTGTAGAAAATTCTCGACCCAGCTAGGTTTCATTCTGAGGAATTATATGTTTGTCACCGGCATCCATCAAAAATCTCAAACCTCAATTTCTGTTTCAAACATAAATCAAGAAACTGTTAAGGCACCCGTCTTTAGCCGCTGCGAACAGAAGAGAAGTGATTCTTTTCCGTATTTGTGTTTTAATGATTTTACGTTTTCTGCAATTTGGCGACAGTCTCTGTGAGAATTCTGACATTCGCACTGAGTACTGCTATGACTTGGTTTTGTGATGATTCTTCGTTTTGCGTGTGATTTATCATACGTTACCCAGCTGAGGATGTCGTTCTATTATCCTATCTGCATTCCGTGATAAGTGAGGCACAGGAATGACTGGGTGGTGGGTATCCACAGA